AAATTCATATTCGCTTGTCACATGTAGCAGTAACAATTTCACATAACCCTTTATTAAGATAAGTCAGCATTGGAATGCATTAAATCTCAATATCATGGCTTCCTACCTGTCATAGCTTTACATTAAACGAAGATCATATATCTAACCATAATCTTTTTGGTCTAAATCATTTGATTGTTCAATATTCCAAATTAGTATTCAAAGACAAAGATTTTTGGCTGATACCGAAGTATATAACGACTTCGAATTAATTAGTTTAGTAGGGGTAGATTATAAAATTAATTTGTTGAAATTAGGTCATTATTTAAGACCGCATAGGTTGAAAAAAAGCTCTGAATAATTAGTCTGCTTGTAGTTTGAGTTATTTTAAACTAGACAGAATTTAAAAAATATGATATAAGTTTTGCAATTAAATTATTGTCCTTTTGATCGATATACTTCAATGTACCTATAAAATCATGTCAATAAACACACAGTAAGCTTATGTTTAATTAGTGATTCCATGTTAATGTAGTTTTATTCATATACTGCATTTCTGAAGCAAGAAGTTAGAAAAAGCGGTATTTTTTAGGAGACTTCATGTCACTCAAATATGTTGTTCATTCTTGCAAAAAACCTTGACCTAACGGTAATAAAATCACAAAATTCTTACTAATAAAAGTATACGTGGATAGATATGTCCATAAAGAAGCTCTCCATGAAGTATCTTAAACGTTAAAAGTATTACCGAAATATAGTAACACGTACAGTGAATTTAGGTTAAACGATGGAACATGTCATGTTTAATCTCCATGTATCAGTGTTTACAAGTTTTTTACCGGTCCCTCAACCAATGATTTTGTATGTAAATGTGCATTGTTTGATGACGTTCTTGTTTCACGTCGTCAAGTTTTATTTGGTTTATTATCTCGAACACTTTAAAAGTCATTCAGTCTAAAATCACTTCAGTAATAACTCAAAGTTTTTCATATGCTTAAGCTGCTATACACTGTTAAAACCGATGTTATTTTAATTGCTGTAAAACCTAGTACATGTTTGGAATAAATTATTAGGTACAGCATTATATTGTGAGTAGGTTATTTTCTATTAGAGAATGAAGTATGAATGCATATTCCGCCTAATGTAAATAAAATCCTACAGTATGGCTTAACTGAAACCTTACACCCACTTGTTGCATTCAGATGGCTTAGACAGATATGATATATCAGCTTTTCCGTTTATATTATCTGATTTTCAAAAGTCAGACTTTTGACAGAACTATTAGAAAGGTGAACTTCAGTTTTCAAAAGTAAAGCAAATCACGCAAAGTTGATTTCTTCCTCATAATTATCAACAGTAGCATATCAACAAACAATGATTTAGATTTTATTAACAGTACATAATTTTATTATCTTTGTCGGCAATATTAGACTAATATGGCCAATCTAACAGCATAAAGTAAACCTTTCAATAAATTTGTTCTTGTATTAGGTATTCAATGTTTAAAGTTCACTAAACGTTTGTTCATTTCATGCGGCACCAGATAAGAAGATAACAATTACATAACGTTATTAAGTAATGACCCAGAAAATCTAAATTGAACGCAAGTCTACTTTAGATCCAAAGTATTACTACATTTTAATTAGATTTTTACAAAAAGCGAAAACTAAATATTAGAATTTCGTGTACAATTCGCCTTGTTTTAATGTATTATCAGTTTGTATTATCTAAAGATCGCATTGTTGGAAACTTTTCATTCAAACACTACAATTAACCTGAACGAATAAAGATAAATAAGTTTTTTTTTATTTAAATTATTATTTTAAGAAGCACATAATCATTGAATTTTTGCATACTACCTCAAGAAAAAAAAACATGAATGTTTCAGCTGGCAAATGATACGGTTAATTTACTTTGGTATTTTTGATGAATTTGTTGACAGAGGTTAAGCTTTTAGCCATTATTATATATTTCCTATGCGCTATATTCGTTTAAAAGGAATCTTTAGAAAAGCTTTTAGAAAATTCCTTATTGTGCGTATTGCTGAGTAATCCAGCTGCATGATAAAATCAACTACTGGTTAATGTTTTTAAGACATCTATTTTTAAAAAAAATTTATTCTACTCGCTTGATCAACCTGACGAAAGAAAGTTACACTTAATTGATTGATAACTGTTGCTTTTATTCAAAATCAGCTAGAATAAAACAACAAGTCTGTCTAAAGTGGCAAACTAAACCGTAAAATCATTTAAAAAATCGAAGTGACTCATATTTGCTATTCCATTTGTCAATGTTTTTTCATGGTTTAGACCTTGAAGTAACTTCACAAAATCTTTAGGTTTCATAACTTACAGAAAATATGTGGAATGAAAATTAATGTCATTTCATTTAAACTGTCAAGAGCAACATTAATTATTCATTGAAAAAAAAAAATAAAAGAAACAAACAATACTACTGTGTATTATTTATGCTATAATGTCAACAACGTCATTTGTAATTGTATGTCAAATTTGATATTTAATACTCTACAAGTTATATGTCCTTAATAATAAGGAAGCATGTATAATTATTAGATATGCACAAGATAGCTTTTTATATTCATTCATTAAATCTTGAGATTTTCTTTACGTTGAAATAGTTCAGACGTCACATTATTAACAGAAGCATAGAAAGTTAACAAAATGTAACAATACACTGAGTTTAAATATTGGATCATGAATTGATCGCCATTAAAATGTATTTCTTCTGTCGAACTATCCAAAGATAACACATCTTCACTATTTTCAGTCGTAGAAAATGTTTGTTTGGGTTTGGTTAAACTTATTTATATTAGAATAAAAGTTCAAATGAAACACTTTGTTTCTAAGAGGCCTTATTGATACTCATGAAAATAATTCATCTTATCCCACACACAATTAAAAAGTAAATCCCTAGTGCTTATCATATATAATACAGTAATGCAAAAATATCCGCTACATATAATCCGAAAATGTGTTGACTCGGTCACTAGAGTAAAAATTATCATCTATGAATTACAACTCTTACAGATGTCATCAATTTATTAAAGAATATCAAGAGCATATTGAATAACTTTTCAGGACGAAAAGCCAAAATCATTACCCTATAATATGTCGTAAATGAATTTCATTTGCAAACTAAAAAACCTGAACTTTGTCGATAGCTATGATTTTATGGTCTTATGTAAATTAAATGCAATTCATTACAAATATTGAGGAATCTGAATTGAATGTATTTAGCAGAAAGTTCATTTATGTCTTAAAAAATACCTAATAGTTCTGCTAAAAAAAAACACCAGAGTTACAAATTACTACTTCATGAAATAGTGAACAAATCCAGCCTTCCAGATATAAGTTCCTAGGACCTTTATAAAGTTGTTATGAAGAAATATTTATTTTTCAATCCAAACTGACATTTCTTTGTAGAACTTATTATGCTTCATTGTTTTGACATTTCATCGAGGCTATCTATTTCTCCATAGAATAAATGGATCAAACAAATTTCTGTCATAATTGAATTTGGGTGATGAGATGGTGGAAACTCGATGCCCGCTAACAATCATTATATTGCTGACCACACAACTATAATTAACCGAAATATATCAAAATAATAAATGCCAACAGTCTTGTTCAACATTCTGACCTTTGTGCCAAGCTACCCGATAGTTGCATCGCTTACAGCATTGTTAAGTTTAACTACATTCGAATCATCACATTTTCTGGATTCGTTTGTCTTGAAGCTTTTCTCAATGTCTGCTTCACGAACAAAGCGTATAAACGAAAGTTTATTCACTGACTGTGAATCTTAAGCCAAATATATGTAAAAGCGATTGGATTAAATTTCATAGCTTGAAGATTCCAATGGCCCATTAGAAAACAATAAAACAGAAACAAACATTAACTACAAATGGAACACTCATATTCCACGTTGCATATGGACTACAGTCTAAATGCGAAGCGTTAGAGATTCGGTGCTCAATCATACTATTCAAAAATGGATAACGGTTATCCACACACACTAACTGCAGCAGTGCCTATAATGAACTGAATTTTTCCGATCACTTATTTATTCTACTTCTTGGTCTCAGGATTTACATATATTTTGGATGATTTTCAGTGGGTAATTTTTAGAGTTGGGTTTATTTTTTCTTCAATCATTTACTTTCCTATGAATTCACAAATTTAGGAACCACGATAAACTAATCGTTTCACTGAGCTTTTGGAATAAAACTATCAAAGGGAAAGTTGGAAAATTAAAACAAATACTTAGCCCTAAACAGTCTGGAAACTTTCATTAGTACAAATTACTTAAAATTGCTATTTGAATTTCAACGCTTAAAAGTTTGGATAATTTTGAATATTTTTTGCAGAATACCTGATATCTAACAGCTTTTCATTTTATTGACAGCTCAACTGTAACTTAATTGGTTTGTCACAAAGTATTTCCCCGGGTTTCGGTAACTTCGTTAAAATTAATAGTTTTATAGATAACATGCCATTGTCAATTACCAAGACCTTATTTTCAAAAGAATTTATAAATAATCTTGAATTCACTGTCTTACTGAAAAACACAGAAAACAGTTCGCAATCATTTCAGCTCATTCTAGTTAGCAACGGCCAGTTGAAAAAGAAAACGGACTTGAATTGTTAATAAGCTTCTAAAACATATAGATTAACTAATGAATGATTTACATTTTTTTCTCATTCATTAAGGTATTACAATGATAGTATAATAAATAAAATCTAAGGGACATTAAGTCGCTAGTGATTCAATCTATACAGAGACCAACCGGTCCGGCCATTCATTTCTTATACAGCGAGATGCCATTCTAAGACGTCATTCAGTAATATGAAAGTGTTTTGTTAACAAAATATTTTATAACATTAAATAACCGGGAATATGCTAATTCACAGAAATCTGGATCACTTTATAATGAACACTTTCTTATGCGAATTTAAATACAAAAAAAGGAAATACTTTTATCATGCACAACGATTACTTACATGAATCCCAGACTGCCAATTAAATAATCTCCATATCAAACAGGGTAAATTAAATAAAAATGCTTGTATCATTAAAATAAATGGAACCCATTGGTAATAATGAATTTTTCTGTTTTCACGTTCCAATATATTTTCCGGAATATTCACATCCTGAGTTGGGATAAAATATGTACTGGTTACCCAACAAACTGACTCAGCATATTCTTCTTGAGCACGTGTGAACTCAGTTGGCACCCAACAAGCAATCGGTTTGCCAATATACTGACGAGCCGATATGATAAGAGTAAAAATAATCAGCAACAACGAAGTAAACGTATGACTAAATCTATCTGAGAAATCATCATCACGACGAAACTTTCCTGCATCTAATTTAAATTTTGTTAGTCCAGCAAAAAAGTGTGTATCCATTGTAAAGTAGGAGAACCAGTGAAGATAAAAAAAACTGGTATTTTTTATTTAAATTATAGCATTCAGTTCTGTAACATGATAATCAATAGGAATTGTTACTCTTATTAGTAGAAAGAGATTTATACTCCTTGAACAAAGAGTCAGGAGTAAAATAATTGAACATTAACTTTTTCATAATATTCGCGTGTATTTGTTTCAAGGACTTGTTGCCATTGATCGAAATGGTGTATTTATCCGACAATGATCAGCCATTCACATGACCATTTCCAGCATAAAAAAGCACATTATCTTCATTTAAATAAGGAGAGCTCAGTCAATTTTTTTAGTATTGAAATTTATTTTATTTTTTTTCTTTTGTATATCAAATTTATTATTTAAATCTAACTTCCTTTTAAAAGGGAAAACGTAATGAATGATATCATTTAATTGGTTAGTTAGTATTTGATTGGTTAGTGTTTTATATTGGTTAGACATTCATAGCCTCAAGTGATTTGTTGATTATTATAAAGAAGCTTAGTAACACATTTTCTTTCTGGCAATAATTATTAGTTTTGTTTTGTGTTTTTCTACAGTTTTGTGCACCATTTATACTTTGTTCATTTGCATAACTTTTATTTCCGGATAAAGATTTATGCAACTAGATATGAAAAAGATGCATAATCACAGATGTAGATCTGTGGTTCATTTGATGAGATCAGTGAAACAATAACTTCCGTTCAATTTTTGGAGAAATATACATTTAATCTAGTAGAGATCTAATGAATGCGTTAGATATATTTCTTGATAGGCAAGATAATGATGAATTTATTAATTTTAATATACTTGTACTTGAAATTTGTAGTGTATAGTCCTAATAACATTACTAAACTCTGCCGTATCAATGTTTGTTTGAGAACTACATTCTTGATTACCGTGTTAATTAGAAAAAATAGTTTTTATAACATGATCGCCTGATAAGTCTAGATGAAGTGACATGAACAGGAATAGCGGGGTAGCATGAATCCCTCATATCTGAAAGCTTCTCATCAACTGTGAACAGCCTAAATATACACTAAAAGTATTATTGTCCAAAGTTATAAAAAATACCATAATCAGTAAATTTCAGATCGAGAAAACTGATGAAACTAGAAGAGGAAACAGTATATTTCAGCTAATATTCAAGATTGTTTAGTACTTACATTTTGAAGACGATAATTAAGAGACAGTAGATAAAAAAAACGAACTGATAATCACGGTGCCTGTTTAATTTAAGACTAAAGTTAACTTCGTGAGTGAATGTCAGCATGATTCGTTTTTACTCTAACTTATAAACCATACTGAAGTGATAATGTAACTACTGATAAGCGTTTAGATATACTGACAAAAAGCAGATTAAAACATGTAGATATGTGTTTGCGTACAGTCCTTCCTATTGTACTCTGTACCCTTCCAAAAATGTACCCCCTTCCTTTCCAACTGACTATTATATTATTAGCAGAATTGGATAGTGGCAAGCAGTGGAATCCAGGAAGGGCATTTTGTCCACCTCTGCTACTAATGCTTATAACCTGAAGGTTATATGAAGGCAGTGCGCATAGGATACACATATTCGAAACAGACTTACTAAGTGCAGTCCTAAACATCAATGTAAAGATCTAAACAATCAATAAAAAGGAAATAATTATTACATTGTACGCAAAATATAATTCAGCAGGAACTATATTTTCGATTGGTATTTATTGAAACATTTTGTAGTCATCATATCTAAATTTTAAGTATATTTCTATTATAAAATCAGTGGTAGATAAAAAATTCTTTGGCAGTTTTAAATTCAACTGAGTTAGTACATCATAAATGTTTCAACTCCACCTGCAGCCTCTACAGGGCTACTGCCGGTCCTAAGCCCGGACTAATGGGGAGAGCTGAGCTGGGGGTTGGCGGCCACATCCCGTAGAAAACTAACTTGCTAAAGAAACGCCAACCAGAAAACACAATTCAAACCGTCTAAACTCTCCTCTGGGAGTTAGAAGGTCTTCGTTTAGTAGAGTTATGATTTCTCATAACGAAAGCCGAGTTCCTTCGGAAGTAACGAGTTCGATGCCCCTTCTGACAACCAGAGCTCTTCCATGGTGCAGGCAGCCGAGAAGCAACATCCGACCTTTCAATGTTCAAACTTTGTGTTAAATCAGGCAATATGCTTCCTTAGATAGGACTCTGGAATCCTATGCTATGAATGTGTGTTGTGTCACGGAAACGAGCATATAAGATCCGAGTACGGTGAATAATTTGATTTCCACTTGTCCAGATAGAGAATCAACTCGGTTTACGCTTAGTGTTTCTGGAAGCCATGATGCCGCTTCCTGTGACCTAGGTGGGGTAGGTATAGTAGTATAGGTATAGTCCTAGGGCAGAACTAGCTCTCTTAGTCTGTCCGACTTAACGGGACGGGACGGATTCTTAAAGATAGGGAAACTCGCGGTTGCCTCTGTTGTATGTGCCTACGCTACAACTGACTGCAGTTCAGACGAGGTGAAAGATGAGTTTTACAGGAACCTCTATAACTTTCTTCAAAAAGTTAAGCGCTCTGATATAATAATATTGACTGGTGACTTTAATGCTCAAGCACGTAGACTAGGTGAAAAGGAAAGACATCTGGGGTAAATTTTGGTGCCGTGGCTCAAAGATCAGATAATGGCGGCCTCGGCTGGTGCTAAGCTCAGATAATCACCTGTTTCTAGAAAATACAACTTTCAGCATAAGGAAAAACATCTCATTACATGATGACCCCTAAAAGCGACCCAACGATGGACTCAGCTAGATCACATTGCGATCAGCCACCAATGGAAAGGATCGATAGTGGACTGTCGCCCGTTCTGGGGCACATGTCTAGATTCAGATCATGCTCTAGTGCGAGAGAGTATTTGTTTGCGACTTACCGGACGTAGGGAAGATGCCCAAAGGAAACCTCTTATGGTTCGAATGGCGGTAGCATATCTAAAAATATATTTTAGGAGGAACTAGAAAAACTTTAAGGCAGCTACGTAAGTGATGCCCACCCCCAGGCCGCTTAGAACGATGTCCAAATAGCTATGGAAAAAGCAGTGATATCTTCTAGTAAGGTAAACCACAAGGTTGAGGAAAAGCGGTGGATTTCAGTAGCATCTACCGAACTGATGGACGCTCATCACGTTTGGCTCTGAGTATGATGAGGAGCAGAGTCACCCCAGGCAGCAATGACAGGTAACAGTATGTAACTGTTCCAACTTATCAGGGAAACCGGAATTAGCAGTCAAAATATAAGAGAGACTTTAGGAAAAGGATGAGCTTGTTATTGATTCTCAATCCAGGAGATTGGATCAGTGGGCAGAACACTTAAGGGATCAGTCGAAATGGCCTTCAGTTACACTTCGGTTGCTCATGATCTACAGTTAACATGAATGGCGGACCGATGTAAGTCCTTCGAATCATTACAAAGTTAAGAAAGCTATAGGAAATCGAATACGAAGGAAGGCAGCAGGCCCTGTTAGATTGACCCGTGAGATTTTTAAGGATGGTAGTCCAGTTTAAGCAGTTAAATTGACCGAGAGCGTAGTTATAATTCGGGAACTGGACGTAATCCCATCCGACTTGTCTCAATCCATGATTGTCCCAATCTTTAAGTATAAAAGTCCTCTTGTGACAGTCACAGATGAATTAGTTTAACTAATTTATTGTCTAAATTGTTGGCCCCGATAATACTTGGACGCCTAACTATAGGTCAGTAAGAGCAGACTGGAGAAAACCAGGCCGGTTTCAGATCTAGAAGTAGCTGTATTGACCGCATTTTCACACTACGACAGGTTCAGGAACACAAACACACATTTAGACGTCCGACAATAGCTGTGTTCCCTGGACCTCAAAGCGGCATTTAACTCTGTGGATCTTGACGATCTGTGGCAGTGTACCAAAGGATTATATTAACCCTAAACAAGCTCTCTACTCTGAAACTATTGGTCTGGTGAGAGCTTATGGCGAACTGTCTTCAAAATTCTCTACTTCAAGTGGTGTCCGTCAGGGATGTCCACTCTCTCCATTCTTATTTACTTTTGTCATGGACCTGCTTCTAGATACAACATCATCTTCGTCTGAATTTTCAGGAGTAGACCTTCCACCAGGAGATTGACTGGTTGACTTAGAATTTGCTGATGACATAGTTCTATTCAGTGAAGACACTGACGAAATGCAGAGTCTTCTGACCACCCTAAGCAACAATGCAAACATGTTCGGGATTCGATTCTCCCTATGCTAAATGTTGCTTCAGGATTGATTTGAATCGACAACTGAACTAGTGGTAAACTGTAAATTATTTTAACCAGGTTAAAGCACTATGACCTTGGTTTCAATACTTAATATTGATTGTTAACTATTAAAAACGTCAGCTATGTTTGTCAGTCAGTCAATAATATTTACATTTCAATGATAAACTGGCTTCCCAAACTACAAGGAACATATATTTAAAATTTATTGGGATTGTTATATAATTTGCTGTTCATCTGTACACTAGTTATGCTCATCGCTGTATTATTGTTCTGAATTCAGATAAACATTATTGATATGTTTTAATGTATTGATTAAAGCATGTGTTTATTGCTCTTAGTACTCTTGGGACATTCGAAATTCTCATTATATAAATATATATATATATATATATATATATATCTTACTTTCGATAAAATTCAAGTATAAATCATTAACAAATTAGTAAGATAACAAAATCCAAAAACAATATTTTTCTTGGTTAATCAATGAAACAACTGTTTAACAAACTCTGTCGTCTGATCATGGAATTTTAAATGTCTTTCGGAAGAATATTTTTCACAAAGTTATTTGGAGACGACTAACTAATTGCCTAACATTTATCTCGTTAGAATTACATTTTGTTAGTTTTCAGTAGATTGTTTAGATATATTTCAGTCCAAAATGTAGTATATGGCTGCACAGTTGCAAAGTCATGACTTTAGCTTAATAAAATCAAGGACTTGAAGATATACCCATTTCAAGCTTCATAAAATAGTTACCATTTTAATTCTTATATGATAAATGTACGTATCTATTGTACTAACATCTGTTCACTAAAAGAAATTATTTCATACAAAAATTAAATTGATCAAATATAATACGTTTACGAACTTTTCACAGATTCTTTCTTCAAAACTTATCGTTTATCCTGAAGAATTTCGTTGTAGCTTGATAAATACCACATATTTAAAGTTTATCTTGTGTCAAAGTTTCACTTCATTTCGCTGTAGATCGCATTTTATAGCTAAAAGAAAATAAGATGAAGTGGATCAATAGTTCGCCCACATTACTAGAAACAAATGTTGATAAATGT